GTCAGGAAGATAACCGGGCTGGTCGTCACAAAAACGGCCGGTGGTATTTCTTGTCGGAGTTTCCCGACGGACAAGAGGCGAGCAGCTCACCGTACTTCGTGCTTCGATAATGGTGGACTACGACAAGCATCTGCACTTGGAAAGTGACGGCTGGCGTGCCAGGAGAGATATCCGAGCGACCGAATTTAATCCTTCCATAGGAAGCTGGATAAGACTAAGATAACTCGATGAAAAATCTCCCTGTGTCCCCTGTACAATCTCAGAATCGTGTCTCACTAATTCGGGCGTTCTCCTAATCTGAGCTTTACATTACGTTTATTACATATGTAAGAGGCTTTTGAACTGAGTTAAGTTTGAGGCATGTCCACCATCTAAGGTACGAATTAGGTGGCTTTTGCATCGTTGTAGCCTCAGGACAATGACTAATGCCATCGCTGAATGACGGATTACCAGGAGAACCCTTGTCTAGCATACCCATCAAGACCATGCATGAAACACATTCGGTGAAAAAAAATCAATTAATGCTTCTTTTGGGTATGTCTAAATAGTACCAAAAGCCATGAGCCATAAGATCAAACAAAGCAATGCGGCTATCAAACAAAATAGTTACAAAAGGCCCGCTCCAGCGGAGACGCCCTCCCACCGCCGGAGGCCCACGTTCCAGTTTCTCCGGGCGCCGCGGTCACGGCTGGGTTTCTGTCGCAGTAGAGCCGCGGTCGGGTCAGTGGTCAGGGCTGTAGTTCTGTCACAGTGGTCACGGTCGGGAGTCAGTCACAAACACCGACAGTAGGGGAAGTTGGGGGAACGCCGAATACTTTTTTTCTGACGCCCGTAGCACGCAAGGTAGACAACATAAGCTATTCTTGTTGGCGTCATTCGAGAGGCCAGTCTTTTGCCTTTCAAACATACCAGGCGCATTTGATGAATTCGCATACCGTTAAGCGCACAAACTAAAAATATCAAAGAAGTGACTTTTTCGGCGTTGCCCCGGACTGCGGGAAAGCCGAAAATGGGAGAAATGATCTACGGGGAATGCTGAAATTGATGTTTTGCCATTTTATCTCAAACTTTATCCATAATTCATCAAAGCTGACACTTTTTTATTAGTTTGAGGACGCTTGGTGCACACTGGAAGTTATAATTGTGTGATATAATAAGAAAAGGCCAGGTAAATCATTCTTTATAGGAAACAGGCCGATGTGTCGGTTGAAAGTGTAATTTGTGTGACTAAAAATATGCGTTGCTATTCTACAGCAGTTAAGTCCACGTAGCGTGCTTTAACGTGCGTAATTGCGCGTTTTCGGCATTACCCCAGCCAGCCATACTTTCATTTGCAGGCCCATAACTTTTCAACGTGCTGTATGAATTTCAAATAGGCAGCACACTTATGCAAAGACATGCTGAAGATTACTTGACCGAATTGGCCAGACAAACGGTAGCATAATGAGTAAGGAATGCTGCTTGAAAGGCGCATGTAGTACAAGGAAAACGTACCTTGAAAACGCTCTTGGCGCCCTCACAGCCGAAGTATTCCGAATGACGACTCGTAACAAACATGCGATAATTGGTAGTCACTTAAGCTTCAGAGCATCACTGACAGGTGGCACCCATGTCGTACAGTTTTCGAAATATCTCGAATTTCGGTTTTGCCCCAACTCCGGCATTGCCCCAACTTCCCCTAGCCGTTACGGTCAGCCTCACTGCGGCTCGGCACCCCAGCTGGGCGATGGCCGGTGATCACGAACAGTCACAGCACCGGCCACCAGCCACTCCCCTCTCCTGAAGAGGAATCACCAGTCGCCATCCATCCCTCCCAGCTCTCCCCCTGCCTACATTCCCTCCTTCTGGAGCCTACATATAACTACGAACATTTATAGCACCTGGCCCTTAGGTACAAGTGCGGGCGCTGCTGAGATTTGTTTCATTTTTAAACAAAATAAGAAAACCATATTCTTAACAATGGTTTCTCGTGTAGCAGGTTATGTAGGCATCTACAAAGTTTTCCGTTTTGATAGCTAGCCTAGAAGGTCCGGTTGAAGACCGGTTACAGTATTCTACTACGGCCTCAAAAGTTGCAATCCGGAACCATTCAGCGCCGGGACCTTCTTATACAAAGTAACCAGTTTGCATATCCGGTTGGTCTTTTATTATCAAGCATTTACGACATGAAACGGCATAACTAACTAGCTCGACAAGCTAACTAACTAACTATCTAACTAACTATCCTATCGATCGTCGTTATTTTGAATCCTTCCTGACCGCACATGGGGCTCCTTCCGGCGAATATTTCAGAAACCAGAAATGTAGATGCGCTCGGAATATTGACTCGGGCCGGCTGAGAGCCGCGTGGGATCGATGACACTCGGAGTCAAGGTCACCGTTCGAAGGTCATGGCGCGCAGGACCGGCGCCCTGATCACTCCAGTCGACTCCCAGCCACCTACCGCAGATAGCATCATTATCGCCTAACGAAGTATGCAAACAGGGACGTGGGAACACCCACCTAATTGGTGATGAGCTTGAAGACATGAAATAACAGAGTGTCGAATGTTTGATGTCGGTGTTAGAGCAGTACTATGAAAATCGGTATAAAATGACTATCTGCTACAATAGGCATTCCATCACGAAAGCACGATATATGTACATGGGTAATGCGATCTGTTCATATCAATGTGATGATAATGCAGTATCTTAGCAGCCAAAGCTTCATGTCCATTGATCTTCGATGTTCTGGGTGTACAATCTCAGTGCAAGAAACCCTACGCTCAGGCAAGGCGATTGTTTTAAATTTGAACACTGCCAGCTAGCCCAAATGCACGAACCTAGGACAGATGACCTAGCAGAAACAGGTCTTTTCTAGCCTCGTGAGGCCGAGCACATCATAATGCATGAATGAGGAAGGTGATTTGCGCCTCGGCTTGTCCGCTTGTGACGACCAGCACGGACGAACAGCTTGTCTGTGAGCGATTGTTTAAAACGAAACGTAGTGTAGCAATTATTTGAGTGAATAATTGCTCACACATGTACAAGCTTCTCCCATTTTGGATGTTCTTGTAAGAGCCCACTACATATAACAACTCCATACCATTCACCTGTATCTCCCAGCCTAACAATTTGAGTCGGGAACCAATAACCGCACGATCTCAAAACACGTTACATTGTTTCACGGCCCCCAGCCTGACGGATTCCGTAACACCGCCCTCCCCACCACAGGACCGGTCAGTCCCTGAAACAACAATGGACGGCACGGCACGGGTCGCGACGCCTCGCCCGCGCCGATCAAAACCGAATGGCATCCTGTTGTAACGCAACACTGACTGAATAGGACAATTGCGCACTTTGGGAGTCGCGGTGGAGAGCCGGGAAAAACGGCGGCCGCCGCCGATACGCGCTGGTGACCCCTAATGACGCCGTGGGGCAGCGGCTATCCGCAAGGTGTCGGCTACTTTCACATTTCATTGCGGCCCGTTGTGACAGACAGGCGTTGTTTCTCATGAGACGGCGGCCCAGCCCACCGATATTTTGCATCGGCAACGAGGTGTTGCCGAGATAAATGTTTCTTGCTCAAGATGAAAGTGTGAGGCTGCTCTGCAATGCGCTCAGCTGGGTGTGTAAAGACGGGAATGCGTCGAATCGTCGACATGCTGGAGTAATTTAGCGCTTACAGAACATCCGTCTCCTTTCACTGAGCCGCGGATAGTTTAAAAGAAACTTGCAACAACAGGCAAAAAAAAACGAAATAGTAATTTACTTACAACAATAACAAACAACCGTTTATTATGCTACGAGGAAGCATTAAGCAATCGTTTGCTTGTAGTTTACTAACTGCGAGCGACTAAGCTTTCGTACATGTCAGTCTTTTAGATCGTCGCAGCAATCAGTGCCAGTGATTGTAGTCACATTGCGAGATTTTATCTATACGACAAATACACTTGTCCTATTATGTTACATGTGTTGTCATGGCATTATTGTAGCTTCTTACAACTAACTTACGCAAGCAACGTTGCACGGCTCAAAGCACCGCACTTGATGTTGATGCGATCATAAAACATGACTTTGCGATGCGCTGATATCAGCTGATGGTGTAAATGATAGCCAAAATAAAACATTTGCAGACGAGGCTTTATAAATCCGCTCCAGCAAGCCGGACATCCTTTATACTAGGGTTGACTATTAAGTAATGGAAGTGCCTCTAGCAATTAAAAGTTTTTGCACGTGCACACATTTTTTTGGTGTCATTACGTGCGCCGATCTTTTTTCTATCCAATAGTAAAGACCAGATGTCTTTAGCTACATTTTACTCTGAGCTATCGACGTTTTTCCAAGAGGCCACTCAAACCTGCGGCGCACGACAAAAAAGGAGCCTGGCAATGGCCAAAATCGTGCGCCAGGGCGAGATCACCAGGGCTCAGTGGCCAAGTGTTATGGCTACACGAATAAAATAATGTAAGTTGCTATATTTTCATAAAAACAATACATATAACACAATAAATAACAGCACCACTACTCCACATCATCGCCTCCTAGCATCACACACCGTTCCAGCCTCTTGACCCAGTCCTGGAACGCCGCCAGGAGGCCATCTTCCGTGATCTGCGCGAGCACGCGGCACACCGCCCGTCGCACCTGTTGCCCGGCGCACCTGATGCCGTCGCTCCATACACTTTTAAAAGTAATTTTCTGATCTCAGCAGGCATTTTCCCTACCACAAACTGAGATTTAATGACCTCGCGCTGGCGCGCGATTTTGGCCATTGCCAGGCTCCTTTTTTTGTCGTGCGCCGCAGGTTTGGGTGGTCTCTTGGGAAAACGTCGATAGCTCAGAGCAAAATGTAGCTTAAGACACCTGGTCTTCACCATTGGATAGAAAAAACATCGGCGCACGTGATGGCACCAAAATAATGTGTGCACGTGCAAAAACTTTTAATTGCTTAAGGCACTTCCATTACTTAATAGTCAACCCTAGTACTATCGCCGACACTGCGCACCCCGGTGAACTTACCTGAGTCTGTCTGCTGTCCGTGGGCGGCGTCCGGCTCCTGTTCCACCGTGACACCGTACTTGTTGTGTTCGCCCGCCGCCGTCTGACCGCCCGACGGCCGCACCTTGGCGTGCAGCGACTTGGACTTCCTCACCAGTCGCTTCAGCACACTGAGCTTCTCCGCGTCCCTCTCCGCCGGCGGGCCGGAGCCGCCCCCGGCCTCGGCCGCCCGCTCTGCCGCCCCGTCCGTCTCGAACAGGGCCAGGTCGAGGTCCTCCAGGTCTGAGCCGGCCGGCGAGCGGCGCAGCCGGACCACCGGCTCGTCCTCCTCACTGAGCGGCTCGCCGGGCTCGCGCAGCTCGTCAGCGCCGGCGCTGGCGTCGTCAGCCGAGCCCTCGGTGCCAGTGCTGACGCCGGAGCTGCTGGCGCTGACCCGGCCCGCCGCCGGGCCGCGGTAGGCGATCACACCCAGCCGCCGCGCCGCCGACCGCTCCATGGCACCCTGCGCAGAGCACTGCGCCGCCGGCGCCGACTCGTCGACCGTCCACGGCGGCGACGACGCCCCCGCGCCGCCCCACCGAGCGGGCACACTTTCACCGTCGGCGTCGGTGACGGGGTGCGACGCCCGACGCGGCACCGGCGGCCGGACGCGCTGTCGCGCTCGCGGGCCGGCCGCCGACGCACGCCGCTCCTCCGTCGGCTGTGACGACGGGCTGCGGATCTCGGAGGACGCGTCACTCGTCTCCGAGGCCGTGTCGTGCTGGTCGTGACGCTCGTCACGCGTCACGCAGACCAGCACGGTGGGTACGCCGGTCATACGCGGCTGCAGGGGCGGCGGAGACGGGGCTGCCCCGCCGTCACCGTCCACCGGAGTGGTGACGGTGACCCGGGTGCGCGATACTCGGGTGCCGGCTGTATCTGCGGTGTTGCTCGCCTCCCTGCCTGACGCAGAGGGCCGTGCTGCCGCCGCTACCGGCGTCGTCACGCTGCAAGAGGTCGCCGTTGGCGTGGTCAAGGGGGGCGTCTCGTCCGGCGCTCGAACGGTGATGCGTGCAACGAGCGTTTCGTCCGGTGTCGTGCTGACGCGGGTCACAATCGCGCCATCAGCTGACGCCACTGACGGCGGAGATTGCGTGTGAAGGTCATCGGTTGACGGCGTGCTGACGACGACTGGTGGGGACGCCCGGCGTGCGTCCGCAGGCGCCGCCGGCTGGCCGGTGGGGGCCGTCATGGCGCGGGTGCGCGCGGTGGGTGTCGGTCCCGTCGAGGTCGATACACTGGCCGTCACCCGCCTGCCGCTGACCGAGCTGGCGCCGCGCAGAGCCGGCGAGCCCCCGACCACGGAGCCGTTCACCGCGGTCTGAGCGGCGCCGGAGCTGCGCGCCGCCGGTACTCGCCGGGAGGCCGCCGGGGTGGCCGCCCGACCTTTGGATGCCTCCGGCTGAGCGGTCACCGCGGTCCGGCTCTGCTGCGCCGAGGAGCGTCGCGGGGGCGGCCGGGGCGGCGTCGGTGAGGTCGTAGATGTCGGCGAGGATGCTGCCGACGAAGCTGACTTGTTAGACGCTGCTGGAGATAAGGCCGACCCCAGAAGAGGCGGCCGGGGCGGCGGGGTCGGTCGCAGTCTCTGGCTGTCCCCCACCGACGACTTGCTGCGCCGGATCGACTTGCGCGTGATATCGTGTCTGGAGAGCGAGTCGCTGCGCTGCGGCGGCCGGCGCACGGGCGGCCCGGTCAGCTCTGAGGCGCTGCGGAGTAGCGGCGGCGGACGGCCCCTCGCCGCGTCCTCCCGACCACTGAAGGACGGCTGGCGGGGCAGCAGGTGCCGCCGCAGCATCCCCGAGATGCGGCTCTGCAGCGGCGGGCGCGGCTCGACGGCTGGCGAACTCTCTGCGCCTCGCTGACCGGAGGTGAAGAGATTCACCGCGCGCCGCACACGTCCATCTCGGCCCGCCGCCTCGCGTCCCTTCCCCGAGCCACTCTCTGAGGGGGACTTTTGTCCCGTCGACAGGCCGAGTGTTCCCTCAGTGCGCGACGAAGGGCGCTTCTCGGACCGGCTCTTGCCGGCCCACAGTCTCTCTCCTCCCCCACCGGTCATGGTGTTCCACTTCCACTGTCACCACGTTACCCTATACAGAACATAATCGGACATTAGAGCCGTGCCAGAGCCTGCGTCACCGAACGCCGTGAGGTGCGCCACGACAGCCGCCTCCCCGTGACCCACTCTTCATAATAGGTGCATTGGCTCGTGATAAGCCGATGAGACGATAGAAATCGGCCGATAAAAACTGGTGAGAAGAAAGCTCGTCCACAAGTTTGTGAAGCTTGTGAGGACTCTTGAGAATGAGTCCAAGTAGGTAAAAAACAGCACCTCACTGAATGGATGCGCTAGTTTTGTTTGCGACAAAATAGTGCCGTCTCAAGCGGACAAACACCCGTTTATTTGAAGATACAAAACAAGCCGTTTGATTGTTAGCAGATCCAGTTGTTTATGGATATCATCCAACAGCCCACTCATCGCCACCTGTATTCGAGGAAAACCCACCAATGGCGAATATTGAGTCATCCAGTTGGGCTGGCGCGCCCTCACGGGCCCCGAAGGTCACGACCGTATTACCCCAGCGGACGGATGGCAGCAATTAGGGCTCGGCCCCACGGTGACATCCGTGAGAAACGCGTTCATAAACTTCACCGCGCCAGCCGAGCGGCCCAACGGCCGACCGACCGGCCGGCGAACAAAGGAGCGACAACCAGGTCGGCGGGCCACCGAATTCCATACGGCAAGAAATTTGCCAGAGCTACAAAGTCAGTCATGCGGCTAGCTTTGTCTCTAAAAAAAGTAGGGCCATTGAGCCTTTAGGAACATCGTGCCGTCGGACAAAAAAAAATCCTGGCCTATCTAAACAAGTTTTAGCAATTAAGCGCCTCATTTTAAAACTTGTGTTTAACTAAAGGCTAAAGTAGCTTTGGCATATGAGCACGCATGGAGTGCACATGCGCTGTAAATGCTACCGATGAGTGAGTAATGAGTATTGGTGCGAATTACAGCTTCGATGCGGGGGGAAGTGAATTGCAGGGAAAGAACAGCTTGACAAGAAAATGTAAGGAAGCGCGCTCCAATCTTTGTGACCACAGCAGATTTCCTGTTACACACTCTAATAAATGATCAATTGATAGTATTGAAGCACCTGCTGCAAATTGCGAAAGGTGGCAGGCAGTCCATTGCGTTACGAGTAAGGCGTGGCTAGCTTGATCATCAGTTACCGAACTCGCGCAATGTATCCTTTGTAAAATGTCGGGCTCTGGAACTGAAACCAGACCTACCCGGCGTTTTCAAAACACGTTCCAAAGAACAGTTGCGCGTGTTTGACCGCCGCGTCCCGGAGGAGCTTGTCCGCCATTTCTGCGCTCGGTTTGTGTGCAGTTCTCCGTCTCAGTTCGGTCAATATTGGTCCGTTCGAACGCGTGACTTCCTCCCTCGCAGGCCGAGGTGCGGCTGACCGTTGGCGGAGAGGACGAGAGGAAGGGGAGGACGGGGAGGACAGGGATAGGGAGGACAGGGAGGAAGGGGAGGCCGCCACGGCACCGCTCAAACGCGCGGACAGGAAAACCGGCGGCGCACGGAAAGCACAGGCCGGCGGCACCGCCGGTCTCATTTCAGATACCGGCCGCCGGATGAGATTAGGAGATTTCTCGAGAAATCGTGCCAGCCACTACTACATACAGCACCGGCGGAAATTTCGGGGCCTCGAACAAACTCATTACAGCTGTACAGACAGCTGGACCGATGTGAGATTTCCTTCGAGATCATAGAATTCATGACGAATTACGTGAGAACCAGGATTTATCCACGAGGGGACTGGGTTACCATCGAGCCGGCATCTGAACCACTTTCCACGGCAGGCAGCGGGCCTGGTGCGGAACAGATGGTCCGACATACCAGGCGCTATAAAATTATCATTGCCGAATTCACCAACTCGGCTTCGGCGCTCATGTTTTATGCAGTGACCAGATACGTCAATCGTCACAGCATCGAGCCGCGCCTCACTATTATCGAGAGCTTCAGCATTCTGCGAAGGCCTCAGGTGTTCTGTAATTCTGTCACCAGCTGCTCAGAGGCAAGGCACACCGCCGCACCTGTACCAAGCTGCGCAGTTGACGGCGGCCGAACCTGCACGTCCTCATTCACCACAGTGGGGAGCCTTGTCCGAGCGCAAGTCAGCAACAATCGGCTGGCTCACAGTGACCAACGGCGTTGGCTCGTCGCCAGAGGGGTCACCGCGGACGCCAGGGGCCCCGGGCTGCTGGCCACCCGGTGACAGGCAGGCATGCGGACCTAACCGCCGCCGACAGAGCCGCCTACAGCAGATACAGCATACAGCGTTCGCGGACAGAGCCGCATACAGCGGATACAGCATACAGCGGCCGCGGACAGAGCCGCATACAGCGGATACAGCATACAGCGGCCGCGGACAGAGCTGCATACAGCGGATACAGCATACAGCGGCCGCGGACAGAGCCGCATACAGCGGATACAGCATACAGCGGCCGCGGACAGAGCTGCATACAGCGGATACAGCATACAGCGGCCGCGGACAGCTGCATGCAGCGGATACAGCCTACAGCAGCCGCGGACAGAGCTGCATACAGGTGAACGACGGCGTCTATAGTGCCAAAGTCGCTGCCAACGTGACGGGAATCGGTCCGCTCCAGGGTACCCGGATTATTGAGATGTCATGCACGCTGGACGTTAGTTGGAACTTTGAGGCACAGCTGCAGGTGCTCAGCAGCGGCACGGCTGGGGTAGCAGCCGCAGGGTCATCTACCAGGCTGTGTCTGCGCGGTACAACAGGCTGAACAAGAGCCGCACAGCAGGGGGAGTCATTAACTGGGCTCGATAAAGAGACAACAGCAGATACATATCCTCGGCGAGCTGTACAGTCTGTCTTAAAAGTACCGCGCAAAGTGACGGTGGATCCATCAAGCCTGACCGATGAAGGACTGCCAAATTTGAGTCACCGAAGCAATGGACATCCTCGTCCATTCCCCAGCTCCATTGGTTCGGTGACTTTCAAATTATAGCAGGCCCTTCCTCGGTCAGGCTTGATGGATCCACCGTCACTTTGCGCGGTACTTTTGACAGACTGTACATACCTCAGCGCTGCCCAGGGAGGTGCCCAAAGCGTTCAAAGCCACTGCTACTAACGGCAGTGCCGGTCACGGGGTGCCCTCTGCCGGCGACTCTACCCGGGTAGGTATCCGGTGACCAGGGCAAGGTCAGAGGGCCACTCGGGCAGCTCGGCATGGTCCCGGCGTAAAAACATGTCGATAAATCGGGCTGCGGTGCCGGATTGCGGGCTGACCGGGCGCCGCGACTGTGGCCCGCCGGAGGTCGCGGTAATAGGGCCGACCCCTGCTGACCGCACACAGAGGGGCGCCTCCGACGGAGGCCAACAGACACAGACCCCGCGGGGTCAGCGTAATGGGGCGCCGTATTGCATGGAACACGCCCGGCATTGACGTTTGTCGTGATGAAAAGAGAAAGACATGGCCGTCGCACTGCTTGACCTCGATACAACGGATTTTGTTTGTCTATGAAGCAGATCATCGGGTGTATTAAAAAGCCTTAGAATGACACTAGAAAAATAAGCTAAACTGAAGGAAAGCCTTGCATCCAGTTATGTTAACTCTATAAAACATTTCTTTACACATCATCCATATTTCATAGTATGATCTCAGGCTAGTTTTATAGAATGGCCAGTAGCGGTGTGCATAGCGGCGCCCATTAACCGTGTCAGTGGCGGCCCGTTTAGCGTCCCATTAGCGGGTCGGCGGGCCCGCCGGAGCCGCCGCGCGGTAGCGGTGCGCGTTAGAGCCGCGCTGGCGGACGTCACCGCACCGCCTCATCGTTCGCCATTAGCACCGTGACTCGGACGCCGGGCGGCGGCCGCGCCCAGATCGGGCGTCTCTCCGCGCGCCGATAGCTGGTCAATGGCCGCGCGCCGGTTCACCGTGCGCCGTGCGCGGACCGCGAGTGAATCGTTTAACGAAGCCCGCCCCACGCCTCCGAGCTCGGGTGCACGCAGTCGGCCGACCGGCCGCTGACCGAGCCAGACCCACGCAACGCGAGCCGGGCCGAGCCGGGCCGGGTCGGCGGCGGGCGGCGGAGACGGGCGGGGCCGGAGACGGCAGCGCGGGACAGGAAACAAACACCGGCGCCTCGCCCCCGGGCGCCTGGGAGACGGGCGTGGTGGGTCTTACAGCGATCGCCATGAACTTCAATATTTCATTTCAGGCCTCTCTTCGTTTTTATGTTAACATGCAGTTAACCTTTCCGTTTACAGATGCTTTTAAAAGAAGATAGGCCGTATGTCATGAATTTATTTGGCCTCTGAGAAAATCAAAACATCTTTACAAACGTCCAGAAGTGAATTTTACGGTCGACATTCAAACCGAGACTGTAACTCCGCTTTAATAGCAGATTCGGCTGATAGCTTGTCGCCGTAAAACACTAATGAGCACTATCTCTGACACGGCGTGTTCAAAACAGCCGTTCCCGCATCAGTACGCCCCGGACGGAGGTTGACGGCTGCAATGCGTCTCTCTCCAGCACCTATCCATCAGAACTCGACCTGTACCGAGCCGCAGGGCGCCGGCCGAGCGCCGTGTTTACTAACGTGTCCGCTGCCCTTGTCCGGGACGCCGATCGGGTCTCCGGGGCGCCGTTGGGAGCCGTCGAGCGGCCGTCGCGGCGTGCCTCGGAAAGACTGGTTTATGATCCGGCCGAGGCCGGCCGCCGGTGCGCGCAGCTCGTTAATTTGTGGACTCAAAGTGGAGGGTCACGTCGGGCAGTGGGCGCGGGCCGACCCGGCTGCCACTGGTCATCAGAGACCGATTGACCTCGGTGACCTGGATATGGGGCGGGCGGGGCGGCTGCGGCGGTCAGCACG